TATGAAAATTTTGAAACACAGAGAAAACCTTACGTTTTTCTTCATGAGATACACCTAAGTAGTACAAGAAAAATCATTGATAAAGGTAACAAATCATCTATGGCCTTTTAAAGATATAACACGAGATGGACCCCACGCATCAGAATGTATTAAAAAACAAAAAGGAGCTAAACTTTTATTAAGATTTGGAGCAAAAGAAGCTCGGTGTTGTTTGCCAAGTTGACAAGACTCACAAAGAAACTCAGACACATTATTTGTAAAAACAGACGGAAATAAATGCCTAAGTAAATGAAAAGAAGAATCCCCAAGACGCCGATACCACAGCCATAAATCCTCCTTGGTGGTTAGGAACTAAATGGAATGATAAGCAAGCTTGTTCGGCTGATCCAAGAAATAGAGACCATTTTCTGCACTACCACTACCAATCGTCTTTCTCGTGATAAGGTCCTAAAAAGGACAATGATCAGGAAAAAACATCACACTACAGTTCAAATCCTTAGTAATACAACTCAAAAATAGAAGATTAACAAAAAAATTGAGAACATGGAGCACTGAAAACAGACATAAAGTGGGGTGACATGAATTAAACATTTCCCAGAGATAGAAGAAACAGTACCATCTGCAATCCTAATTTTGTCTTGACCTGAAGAGGACTTATATGTTGAGAAAATGTCAGAAGACCCAGACATATGATCTAAGGCACCAAAATCAATAATCCATGGTAAAGACTTATGGGAAAGAAAAGCACTAGGAGAAGAGGTTAAATTACCTAAGCGGGCAAACGACGAGGAAGATACATTGGGAGCAGTAGAAGATTAGCAGGTCAGCAAATGACGCAGAACATCCTCAAGCTCAAGAGAAGTCATGCTAAATAAACTATCAGAAGTTGGACCAACTGAAGCGGAAGTAGAATCAAGGGTGTCAACAGCATTAGACTGACGGGCTCGTGGATTAGAGCCACGTCCTCTAGACTAGCCTGATCGACTGCCTCTAGTACCAGACCGATCACCCCAACTCCCTAATGAAGCCTCATGAACCTTCCAACATGTCTCACGAGTATGCAGCGGCTTGCGGCAGTAATTACAGAACAAAGTATCCTTCCCTGAAGGATTGGAAAGAAGTAATGACAAGCCAGCCCCATCTCGAGAAGGAGCAGAAAGTAATGTTGAACGGTCTCCAGTAGCTGGTGGTAACATAGCAAAACGACAACTCGACTCATTCTGTATATATACAAATGCCTCTTGAAGAGATAAAAGAACATCCATGCCAAGGACACGACTCCAGACCGGATCAAACTCCACATTGAGACCTTCCAGAAACTTGAAGACCCTCACCTGTGCAAGAAACTTCTGGTAACCAACTGAGTCAACTATACAGACAGCCTTGTAATCCAAGGGATGATCTAAGCGTTTCCAACCATTAGTCAGAAAGGTGTAATACTAGAAAACTGTATACTCCCCCTATACTGAGCACTCAATAGACCAGCGCAGCTCAAAAGACTCAGAAAAATTTCCTTTTCAAAAATATGTATCAACGACTGCTTTTCAAATATCCTAGGCAGTATCCATGGATAAGTAGTTTTCACCAATCTCAAGAACCATGGAATGACTGAGCCATCCCATGATTAAAGAGTAGGTAATCTCCCATTGGTCATAGCCAGGATCCATAATACCTAGTGATTGAACTCTCCCATTAACATATCTCATCTTCCCCCTCCTCTTCAGAAAAAGTGTTAAAACACTGAGACCATGAAAGGTAATTTTGACTATTAAACAGAGTGGTGGTGATTTTGAGGTTAGGGTTTAGGTTCTCAGATGTAGTAGTCATTGGAGCTCTCCCCTTTAGATGGGTGAGAAGTAGTGGTAGATTCACTAGTTAGGTCAGCTATAAAAGCTCTACAATTTCAACACATAAAACCTTGCACGAATCACAAGAATGGAAAGAGGAATGGAATGGGCTGGAACAAGCAAAATCACATACAGACCACTATGGGAACATAACAATCAGATTAATGGGCCATCTATGGACCCAAAAAATAAATCAAATACGGAAAAATGAACCTCCAATCAAAACAAGTGCTGAATTGTGTTCAAGAAAGTAGAGAGAAAGAAACTTGGGCCACCAGAATATGGGCAGCCCTCAAACACTCATCGACAGGAGCCGAAATACACAAAAAGAGACTAGGACAGCCCTCACAAGGGTCAACTAGGCCAGAGGGGCCAAAACAGCTCTATGGGACCTTGGCTAGTTCTGACAAAGAATCAGGGACCAACGGTGGAGGATGGGTGGTGATGGCTAATGGCTGGTTGTTGGCAACGGCTGTGTGGGTGACAGTTTTTAGGGCTGTTGCTCTGATATCATGTAATTTAAAAGAATACAAAACTTAGGTGATGATTATGATATTATCACCTTTTATATTAATCAATCAACTGCTACAAAAGGAAGTCCTAAGGCACTAATTAAGGAATCACCTTTTATATTGATTGATTGATTATCAATCAATCACAATCTAATCTAAATAAGGAAATATTCTAACACATTATTCAGTCTGTTACAACATTTTCCTCCAACTCATGCCCATAACTCACCTTGAGAATATAATATGTACAACTTTCATTCAGCTTCAGCAGAACGTACACAAAATGGGCCAATCTTCAGCTTTGAACATACTAAAACTACTGCTGTTCTGATATTGTGTGTGCCGCAAAAAATCATGGCTTGCTTTTGTTATTTGCTTAACTCTACCTAGTATTTGCTAAGTTTCTTTTTCAGCCTTCCCTCTTATAGGTGCAACAGAGGATGTCATGGGTTTGACACACTTCTAACATCACGTGCCGTGCTCAACCTCCAAGAACCTGAGGTTGTCAGTTCAGCACGCTTCAAAAACATTACAAAAAGTTCTGACAGTAGATCAACCTTCTAGACATGCAGCCCAGAAGGTCAAATAACAACCGTACAACAAATTATGCAATGCCCAATGGGGTAAATTAGTTCCAACAATCTAGCTCAACATTCTATGACAACAGGCTCCATGGGTCCAGTCACTACAAGAACCATACAAAAGGCCCAAAGTTAAAATCAGTTACTAACTTGTAGGACAAGAGCTACTAACCAAGCTTATCAGCACATGCACGTGTCAAGGTGGTACAAAACACCATCAACTACTTTTATTTTTCCTCACTCAAATACCAAATAATAGAAATATGAATGAGAACCAAAGTTTTAAAAGGCTTTACTCAGGCTCACCTCAATGCTTGCCTCAAGGCGAGACTAAGGCAAAATGCCTCAAGGCTTTGATTTTTAGACTTTACTCCCCAAAGGCTTGCGCACACAGTCTGAGACATGCGCCTTAAGTGTGTCTTGTATGCATAAGAATGTGAGGCATACGCATACGTAGAGTTTGTCTTGAGATCTTGTTAAACTTAGTCTAGTAAATGGTTTTTTTAAATTATAAAAAAAAAAAAATTAATGACCAAAAAAATAACCTTTTGCAACTATATTCTAAAGGAAAAGTTAAGTAAATGACCAATCAAGAAAAAACACAAAGTCAGTGATTAATGAGAAACTTAATCACTAAAGCTAAAAATACTAATTTCACTCTCAATAAAGCAAAACTTCCTTCTCTGCAGTGAGCCTTGAGCAAAAAGTATTTACTTACACCTTTATATTCAATTTTGATATATTTATTTATTGTTTTAAAATATTTACTAAATATAAAAATTTAAAATTTGAAATGCTTAGCCCTTAAGGCTTACGCCTTGCCTCATGAGGGGTAAAATGCCTCATTTTACGAATTCGCCTTTAAAAACTTTGATGAGAACAACACTCATGTTAGGTGAAAAACAAAAAATGAAAAATAAAGGAACCCTAATTACAATATTGTGAGATATAAAAAAATGCATGTAAGATTTTCAGAAGAAAAAAATTGGAAATTTAACCATAAAAACCTATATGAACTCATAGCCAAGTAAAAACTAACATTTCAAATCTCGATTAATATTACGAATGAGTTAGAACATTAAAATGTTAAATTTTATACATATAATATAAAAAAATTAGGCAAACTTAACTTTTCTCCCTTATGGTTTGAGCCATGTGCAGTTTACCCCTTTACCATTTGAAAATGACCATATAACCCTCACGTGGTTTGTGAACTGAAGTGCACCATTAAACATTACATCCAACTTAACAACAAGCACAGTTGTCAAATCATGAATCAAAATGGCCTTGTACCGAATCATGAATCAAATCGAATCGTAAATCGTAAAGATTCGGTCACTTTTTATACCATAAAATATTGTACCAATCTCAAAATATAAAAATTTGAAGGCACAATCGTCTAGTTGAAAAAGTGCATTGAGAATAGAGATTTTGGTGAGCAAAAGATCTTGTGCCCAATAAAAGGTGATATGCTTACCATATAAGATTGAGCAAACGAAATTACACGCTTGGTGATATGCTTGCCATGTACTATATGACATGTTCTTGCAATATCAAAAAAGAAAAAGAACTTTAAAATTGGGCAAGTGGGTGACTAGTGATCCTATCATCAATTCATCTGTAGTACAAAGGACATTTGGAGGGCACCAAAGTAGGCCAGTGAGGTAGCTTCATAATATAGGCAAGTTGAAGAAAAAGGTCAGGCAGGACCATGAGAGAATCACTCCAAAAAAATGTACTATAGATATGCTCCTTGGCAAGTTTCCATCACATTTGTCTCTTGATGGCCTCTTTGTGCAATTATAATGGGCTCTTCATAGTCCCATATGCTGCTCAAAGTTCAACACTACACAAAGGCAACAAACTCTTAAGGGCACTAGAGTTCTTCAACTGGTCCCCAAAACTAGGGCAGAGCAGGGACCATGACTTTCCCATTTCAATGATGATTATCACAAATTAATTGTGACCGACACCGACCAATCACAAACCACCAGGCAGTACTTAAAAATGAGTTTATTAGGTACAACTGATTTTAACACTATTTCAAGCAATTTTAATGTTGTTTGATCAACAAATAATAGTCCATATCTAGGTTTCCAAGAGTGATTTACAATAAAACTAGAACCTTTTTCAGAGGACTAAAATACAGATTCCCCTTTCAAATGAATGCCCTGATAGAGTAAACGTCAGAATTCAATCCACGCAATAAAACAAAACAAGTTTTAGCGTGAGCTGGCATCGGTAACCCATCTCAAAAGTTAGTGCCATTCAATTTCAGTTAGTTGGACCTATAATAACAGGTATAGAAGTAACATTTCTGGTTTCTCACTGTTTTCTCCAGCTCATGGTCATCAAAATAAAGCCAAAGAGGGTACAATTGAAAACCCCATGGCATCTTCAAAACCCAACAAGGGTTGTAAAAAGTGAAACTCCCAACTGTAACATCAGTTGTAGTATATATGATATCTGGAATCAATTCATAATTCCTAATTTAGACAACTTGTGGATCATATAAATGGAGACCAAATTACTAAATTAGGCCTGCACATCATCAAGTTGAAACAGGTGGCGCCAGCTCTTCTTGTTTACCTGGCACAGATGGTTGGTCTTTTGCAACTGGTAGAGATGTCTGTTCTTGAACAGGTACACATGGCCTCCAAATTGTCTCCTTGCCCACATCCATAAGAGCAATGCCCTTGGCAGCCAGTTCACTTCGAATCTCATCACCTCTGGAGAAATTTTTGTTCTTCCTTGCTAATGCTCTTTCTTCAATCAGCTGCAATATGTCTTCTTCTGTTAACCCTGCTCTCTTTAGTGCTTTTTCTTTCAACTGCTGAAGAACCTGTCAAAAAAAAAAAAGGGTAAAATTTGTTATGGATTTCATCATCAGCAAGATTTAAATATTTTGTTAAATGTCCTAATAATTATTGCAACTTTCTAGTAAGAAAAGTGGACAGTCTAAAATGCAGCGACTGTAAGGTGATTCCTAGGGAAAGCCTGACATTTCAACATAGGATTTTGATACTAGATTTATGCTTTAAAGGGCAATACCAAGCTTGGAAGGATAGTGGGCGTCATAGGACGACATGGTGAGACCTAAAAGGGGTTAAATTAGAAATATTTAAGAATAGAATGAATAAAGAAGATACTTGAGACTTGGAAAATGATACTAACACTATGTGGAACTCGATGGCTAATTGCATGAGGAGAATCTCAAGTGAAGTCCTTGGAAAGTCGAAAGGAAAGGGACCCAACTCTAACGGAAACTTGGTGGTGGAGGGAGGAGATTCAAGTGGTAGTAAAGACAAAAAAAAAATGCTTTAAAAGGTGGCAGACGGATAAAACTAAGGAAAACCTTAAGAGCTACAGATTGGCTAATAAGGAGGTCAAAAAAATAGTGAGAGAGGCTAAGTTGAAAGCCTATGATGACCTATACACTAGACTAGATAGTAAGGAGATAGAGAAGAGAATATACAAACTTGCTAAGATAAGAGAGAGGAAAATAAGAGATTTTAATCAGGTTAAGTGCATCAAGAGTGAGGACACTAAAGTGTTAGTGAAGGATGAAGAGATTAAGGAGAGGTGGAAGAACTATTTTGAGAAGTTAAATGAGGAATATGGAGGAAGGTCAAAAGATGAGGAAGTAGCTAGTAATAAGAAAAACCAAGACTACAGGTTCTATCGCAGAATTAGAAACTTTAAAGTAGAGATTGTACTGAAGAAGATGAAATCAAAAAAGACTTTAGGACCCAATAATATCCCTATTGAAGCTTGGAAATGTTTGGGTAAGACGTGGATTGTTTGGTTGACTAGATAATCTGGCAAGATTTTGTTGACTAGAAAAATGCCGAAGGAGTAGAGGAAGAGTATTTTAGTGCCAATATATAAGAATAAAGGAGATGTCCAAAATTGCAACTATAGAGGAATCAAGTTAATGTGTCATACAATGAAAGTATGGAAGAGAGTGATGGAACGTCGATTGCGAGATATAATAGAGGTGTCAAAGAATCAATTTGAATTTATGCCTGGTAAGTCAACAATAGAAGCAATCTATCTTTTGAGCAAAGTAATAAAAAAGTATAGAGAAAAAAAAAGAGGCATTCCTATGATTTTTATCAATCTTGATAAATCATATGATAGAATACCTCGGGATATAATTTAGTGGGTGTTAGAGAAGAAAAGGGTGACAAAATGCTACATTGATGTGATTAGGGACATGCATGAACGTGTGGTGACCACTATTAGATCGCCGACTAGAGAGACAAGTGAATTTCCAATTACTGTGGAATTACACCAAAGATCGACCTTAAATCCTTATCTTTTTGCTTTAATTATGAATGAGTTGACGAGAAACATTCAAGAAGATGTGCCATGATGTATGCTTTTTGCAGAAGATATCATGTTAGTGGATGAGACTAAAGGAGTTAACACTAAGTTGAAAACTTGGAGAAAATCACTTGAATCTAAAGGATTTAGGATAAGCAGAACTAAGACAGAGTACATGGAGTGTAATTTTAGTAACAATAACAATAGAAGCAGAAGAAAAGTGAAAATTGAAAATAAAAAACTATCTAAGAGTAAATATTTTTGTTATTTATGATCGATTATCACAACGGTTGGGGAGCAGATGTAGTCTATAGATTTAAGGCGGGGTGGCTTAAGTGGAAGAATGCATCGAGGGTACTACGCGATAAACAAGTACCTACTAGACTAAAGGAAAGTTCTACAGAACGGCTATTAGACCAACGATATTGTATGGGACGGAATGCTGGGCAACTAAGAAACAACATTTAGATAAGATGAGTGTTGCTGAGATAGAGATACTAAGGTGGATGTGTGGCAAAACTAAAAAAGACAGAGTTAGGAATGAGTATATTCGTAAATGGGTAGTAGTACCGATAAAAAATAAGTTGAAAGTGAATACATTGAGATTGTTTTGTCATATATAATGGAAACTAACAGAGACAGTAGTGAAGAGATGCGATATAGTGATGGTAGATAGAAGTGTTAGGGGGAAAGGGCAAACCTAAATTGACGTGAGCTAGTGTAGTAAATAGATAATCTCCTTAATTTGACTAACCAAATGGCCGTTGATAGAGTCGAGTGGAGAAAAAAGATTCATGTAGCCGGCCCCATTTTATGGGACTTAAGGCCTGGTTTGGTTTAATTTGATTTGGTTTGGTTTGTCCTAATAATTATTGCAACACCTCAGAGTAAGTTGAAGTTGACAGCAATCCCAGGATGCACAAAACTTCCTTGACTTCCTTCTCTAGTTCAGTGAGGGACTGAATCGTTGATAATTGTTGTTGTTTCGGTTGCTTCTTCTGCAAAATTTTAAAATAAGAAATCATTATAGATAAACACAAGCACAAAGGAACATATATGCTCATATGCAAGAACAGCCGTGTGCGCACGCAACAGAGGGAGGGCAGGGATGGGAGAGAGATTACAAGCATTATGCTAGAACCAATTTCAAAGATGCACCTTGAGCAGGTTCAAAGAACTGTTCATGAATCTCAAAGCTTCTTGGAGAGTAGCATTCAATAAATATGGTGTGTGCAAATCATCTGACAGTTTAGTCTCAAGATCACTGCGTAGTTTATTAACGCAGTCTTTGGCAGCAGGAGTAATCCGAGCTGTTCTGCCATGTGGTTCACTTCCCTCATTTTGGTTTCCTTCTCTAACCCGTGACAGAGCATCCTCAGAATCTTGTAATGTCTATCAATCAAAAACCACTTAACATTAGAGCAATCCATGTAAAATTAGCATGGAGAGAGATATAATGAATGGCATTCATGGCAAAGTGAGACAAATGGAACGAAAAATATAAAACAACCTAAGCAACGACAACATTCATTTCCCACAAATTTTTTAGTGATTCTAATAAGAAAACCTACTACATATATATCAGATTTTCAAATATCAGAGGAAAAACTCGGTCATCTACATTCAACAGAATCAACACGTAACAGCTACCTTACCATTAAAGTGCAGTTCTTGCCTGCACTCCACCATCCTCTCTACATCTCCGAATCCAACAGCAATAGCTAGTCCTCCTATCTATTCACTAAATATAAATAAAGTAGAGCTCCCTATTCAGTTGCTGCCAGATGTCAATCTAAAGTAATTTTATTTAAATTCTAAATTGATACTTCTAAATTTATTTCTTCTTATTAAATAATGTGCTAAATCAATTTACTCTTCCAATTAATACACTCATAAACTAAAATCTCTCTCTCTAACTCTTCAATTAATACACCATCTCTCTCACCTACACACACAAATATATATATATACATAACATAACTCAGCATACTGAGTGTTAAATTAAAATTTCAATTTCAATTATGCATCCTTGTTTTTATTCTCTCTCCATTGATCATTACATAATTAAATGTAACTTTTGTTGATGCCACATTTTAAATAAATCAACCCGCATGCCCAACCCCATTGCTTATACACAGAGAAGAAGCCCAATGTAAAAATTTATGTATTATTGATTGATGTTTATTGATATTTATTACAATGATTCATGATTCCTATATATAGAAGAGGGTGAGTGTGTAGTAGGTAAGGAGTAGGTGAAGTGGAGGTGGTAGTGGTGTAGTGGGTTAGGTTTAGTGGAGTAGGTGAGGTGGTAGTGGTGTAGTGGGTTAGGTTTAGTGGAGTAGGTTTAAGTGGGTGAAGTAGGTGGAGAGTAGGTGAATTTTAACACCCAAGGAGTTCAGAGAAACAGCCTAGATTAAAACCCAGTCCAAAAAAGTCCAATCAGCAACAAGTTTACCCAATTTCATCTATTTCGAGATGACTTTGGCTTGACCCAACCCATTTAAGCTCATTCCTGGGGTGATGACATGGTTGCCACGTGAACCCAGTCCATGTCATCATGCAGATGACAAGATATTTAGATTGGTTGGGAAAGAAATGAGGTGGTCATTAGCTGGCTGTCCAAGGCTTTCACTGAACAATAAGATTCTTTTGTGGATTTGACTTAGTTATACTTATTGTCCACTCATTGGTCCAGATCATTTCTGCTAGATTCCCTTTTGAAAACTCATATCTTTGACTGATAGTTACTACTTTCAATAGGGCCTTCAATTCAACAGACTAATTCCCAACCTGTTTGGAACTTTGAAGACATCAAAGATGATGAAATAGTCTTGAACAAGGTTAACCCTGTCTTGACACCTCATCCATCTGATTAAGAATCTGAATAACCCCTGGATAGGAGTCAAATTAGCACCACTATAAATATAAAAGCCACATCCATTTCAAACCAGAAGTCTCATCATGAAATTTTCTCCGAAGTTTCCTCACTCAGTTATTCACCTTTCACGTCCCTCATGGTCTCAAAACTGAAAAATCTTGAAACCTTACTAAAAACCACTAAGTAAGCTTAACGCAGACTAACTTAGCTGATACAACTTTTCCACGACCTTTTCTATTCCAGCCAGTGTAAATCAGTCATCCTAACAGCATACCAGTATCTTAGATCATTCAAGTCTCCTTTATAAGCCTATTTTGGCCTCTTAAAGATATGAACTTTCATTTTGAAGCTCAAATGCTTTAGTTTCAGTCCAGTCCAGCTATTCAAACTTCAACCACTACCCTTCTCTCAATTTTTTAAGTTTAAATGACCATCACTTAGCCTTCAAAACTAGTGTCTTCATTGCCCATTATGTAATTTAAGAGAATACAAAGCTTCAGTGATGATTATGATATCATCACCTTTTATATTAATCAATCAACTGTTACAAAAGGAAGCCCTAAGGCACTAATTAAGGAATCACCTTTTATATTGATTGATTGATTAACTGATTAAGGAATCACAATCAATCAATCAATCAATCACAATCTAATCTAAATAAGGAAATATTCTAACACTTCCCCTCAAGCTCGTGCGAAGATATCTTGCATGCCCAACTTGCCTAGAATGTCATGAAATTGTTTACTCCCAACTCCCTTGGTGAGAATGTCTGCAAGTTGTTCGCCTGACTTCACAAAAGGAGTACATATCATGCCGCTAGTGAGCTTCTCCTTGATGAAGTGGCGATCAATCTCAACATGCTTTGTCCTGTCATGTTGAACAGAATTGTGAGCTATGTTGATGGCAGCCTTATTATCACAATATAGCTGCATAGAGTCTGTTTGGCCTATCCCCAGATCACTCAACAACGGCCTGATCCACAAGAGTTCACACATACCTTGTGCCATAACTCTAAACTTAGCTTCTACACTCAATCTAGCCACCACATTCTGTTTCTTACTCATCCAACTAACAAGATTGCCGCCTACAAAGGTACAATATCCTGATGTAGATCTCCTATTAGTTATTGACCCTGTCCAATCAGCATCTGTATAAGCTTTCACTTTGAGGTGATTATGTTTGAAAAAGTAAAGACCCTTTCCAGGAGAAGATTTCAAGTACCTCAGAATTCTCATAACAGCGTGAATTTGATGAGAAGCATGCATAAACTAGCTAATCATACTGATAGTAATAGCAATATCAGGACGAGAATGAGATAAGTAAATGAGCTTACCCACTAGTCACTAATAACTCTGCCTATTAACAGTTACTCCTCCTTTATCATCACCAAGTTTCTGATTAGCTTCCACTGGGGTATCAGAGGTCTTACATCTAAGCATCCATGTTTCCTTTAAAAGGTCAAGAACATATTTTCTTTGTGAGATGAAAATCCCATCCTTGGAGCGAGCAACTTCTATTCCTAGAAAATACTTCAAATTTTCCAAGTCTTTGATTTCAAACTCACTAGCTAAATATTTCTTCAATAAGGGTATTTCCTCACTATTATCGCCTGTAAGCACTATGTCATCCACATAAACAATGAGAGCTATAGTCTTACTACGTGATGAATGTTTCACAAAGAAAGTGTGATTTGCCTAACTCTGCTTGAAACCATATTTAAGCATAGCCTGAGTGAATCTCTCAAACCAAGCCCTTGGAGACTATTTGAGACCATATAACGATTTCCGAAGCCTGCATACTTTATCCTCTATCTGATGATCCTCAAAACCAAAAAGAATGTCCATATATACCTCTTCTTCTAGATCACCATGCAAGAAAGCATTCTTTACATAAAACTAATGAAGTGGTCAATCTAAATTAGCTGCTAGAGAGAGAAGTATTCCAACTGAATTCATCTTAGCTACTAGTGCAAAAGTCTCCTGATAGTCTACTCTATAAGTCGGAGTGAAGCCTTTTGCCACAAGTCAAGCCTTGTAATGCTCAATGGAACCATCTGCTTTGTGTTTCACAGTATACACCCATTTACATCCCACCGGTCGTTTGTCCTTAGGTAACTCAGTTAATTCCCAAGTGTTATTCTTACGAAGTGCTTTCATTTCTTCAATCATGGCAAGTTTCTATTCAGAGGTAGCAAGAGCATCCTAAAAATGGTTAGGACTACTAACAGAAGAAATGTTTAACACAAAGGCTCTATAAGAGGAAGACAAATGAGAGTATAACACAAAGTTTGAAATAGGATGTTGAGTACAAGATCTCACACCATTTTTGGCAATAGGAATACCAAGATCAGTAGTGTCAGGAATATCAATATCAGCAGACTCAAGAGAAACAAGAGGTTCAAAGTTACTTGAACTCTTATCAAAAGCCGAAGATGGCAGTGGGCGAACAAAAGTGGCCTCTTGTATCCGAGTAACTTTCTGTCTGTCTGTGTCCTTGACATAAACTTGTCCTTCCCTATCCTTGATGGCATTGGATTCTATAGTCCCAGTAATAAGTAGTGCAGGAACAACTGGTTCCACCATAAGAGCAACAGGGACAATAGGAATCTCTTCACACCAACGCTCCCCCTGAAAGGATGACTGTGACACCAGAGAAGACAAGAAGTAGGATTGAGACTCAAAAAAAAGTGACATCCATGGACACAAACCACTTACGAAAAGGAGGGTGATAACACTTATACCCCTTTTGAGTAGGTGAGTATTCGAGAAAAAACACACCTGAGAGAGCGAGGGACCAACTTACCAAAAGTAAGAGAATGATTGTAGACAAAACAGACACAGCCAAATATTTTAGGGAGAATGGAAAACAAAGACTCTGAATCAAGAATGACTTGTAGTGGAGCTTGTTTTTGCAAAACCTAGGTAGAAAGACGATTAATAAGATAGGCTGTAGTGATAACGACCTCGCCCCAGTAAGACCGAGGCACACTCATAGAAAAACATATACAGTGAGCCATATCAAGAAGATGACGATTCTTGCGCCCTGCAACCCCAGTTTGTTGAGGGGTATTGGTGCAAGATGTCTGACGTATAATGCCATGAATGGAAAAATAGCTCTTTAACCGAATCAATGTATGCACTCCCATTATCAAAACGCAAGATTGACAATTGCCCCAAATTGAGTACAAATCATTTTATGAAAAGTTTAAAACACAAAGAAAACCTTACTTTTTTCTTCATGAGATACACCCAAGTAGTACAAGAAAAATCATCGATAAAGGTAACAAATCATCTATGGCCTTTTAAAGACATAACACAAGATGGACCCCACACATCAAAATTTATTATAAAAAAAAAAAAAGCTGAACTTTTATTAAGACTTGGAGCAAAAGAAGCTTCTTGTTGTTTGCCAAGTTGACAAGACTCACAAAGAAACTCAGACACATTATTGTTTGTAAAAACAGATGGAAATAAATGCCTAAGTAAATGAAAAGAAGGATGCCCAAGACGCC